GTTCCAGTGCCTCACCATCCTCACAGTAAAGAATTTTTTCTGATATCTAATCTAAGCCTACTCTCTTTCCATTTGATTCTATTTCTCCTATAACAACATGCTCTTGTAAAAAGTCCTTCTCCATTTTTCTTGTACAGTCCTCTCAGGTACTTGAAGGCTGCAAACAGCAAAAAGCCTTCTCTTTTCCAGGCTAAACAAACTAAATTCCCTCACCTTTCCTTGTGCGAGAGGTGCTCCATCCCTCTGATCATCTTGCTGGCCTCCCCTGGGCTCACTCCAACAGGTTCATGTCTTTCCTGTGCTGGGGATCCCAGAGCTGGATGCAGCACTCCAGGTGGGTCTCAGCAGAGCAGAGCTGAGGGGCAGAATCCCCTCTCCTGACCTGTTGGCTTTGCATCAATCTGCTGCACTTGCATAATAGTTTAAATTTTGAAAGAGAAAATAAAAGGGAAGAAAAACTTGCTCTAATTCACTGCTGAAACAAATTTTTTCAGCTTTCTCTCAGCTGAACTAATTTTATGGGAAACACAGCAGCATTTTAGGCTGAAAACCAAAATAAAAACCTAGGAGTAGGGGGAAGGGGGAAGCTGTAATATTAGAAGCTGAAATATTAGAGGAAATAGCCAACATAAAAAATGCACATAGACTAATCCTGAATGCAGCAGACCACTGAATACCTAATACTACCTGTGCTTGTAAAGTTGGAGGTGTCAGGGAATACTCCTAGGCCTGGCACTCATCTTCCAACAGGAGATAATTCTGTAAGAATTCTATTAGAATAATCTTTTTTGGCTCATGAGAAATACTGCTCTCCCAGTAATCTCTGTGGTTCAGGAATTAGAGCTAGGAGCTACTTTTAACAGGCATTTCTGATGCAGCTTCTGTTTCAGATGCATGACAGCCATCCCATGATAGTCATCCTTGTTGCTAAAAATGGATTCAGCACCTAGGATGGACCTGGGCTTCACCTGGCCCCAGAGAATCCACATGCTAAGAAAGGTACAGAAGAGTAGCACAGTGTTATTGTGTCTAAGGAGAATCGTTCAAAATCACCCCCTCTTTTCCTTCCTCCTCTGCCAAACTTTTGCCTCTGCATTTCTTCCACACAGAAAGCTCCACTGGGTCCAGGCAAAGTGAGGGGCTAGGAAGAGGACCACCTTCATAAAGTTGCTCAGGTCCCACAAGCAAGTGAAGAAAATAGGAAGCTCAGTGCAAATAGCAAATAAGCATTGAAATGTTTCAGGTGTGGGGTGGCTTTGTTAAACTGATAGGGCTGAAAAGAAATGTCATTTACGTTCAAAAGAGCACTAGAGTTTATCCTGGTGTTACACTCATGATGTGTCATCACCACATGGGCACCAACAGTAGCACAACACTGAAATAAAAATCCAGGTGACTCAGAAGCATCAAACTACAAGCATTCCCTCCCTCCCTCCTTCCCTCAAACTGCTAGAAAAGCTCTCAGCAGCTCTGCTCCTCCATTCAGTCAGCTGGCTAGTGTCAACATGTTGTAATACCTGGATACAAGTACTTTCATGCAGCTCTCTTAATATAAAATTGTGTCAACAAACATCTAAAACCATAGGTAACAACTTCCAAAAGAGCTCAGATGCTCAGGAACAGCCCACCTAGAGTGTGGCACATGCTAACAAAGAAGGGTTGGTTGAGGCTGGCAGGAGAATACACAGAGGATTTCAAGGGCTGTTGGTTTCCATGGCTGTAGCACTCATTACCAATAGATCTGAGCAAGTGTATCATTACATTGCCAGTGTGACAGCAGGCAAAACAGGATCTCAGTCAGAATCTAAGCACCTGGTGCATTTCAGAAAAAAGTACTTGCTAATTGAAGAGGTTACTGCCCAAGTCCTTCATTCCTGCAATGTAGATAGTACAAAATATTCAGGCAAAATATTCCTTTAAAAAGGCTAATATAACCAAATATCCCTTATTTTTTAATGTAAAAGCTTGAAAAAATCCACAAAATAAGAAGCAGGGACAAAGGCATTGTGATTACTGAATGAAAACTCATTTTCTAAAACAAGGTCTTTTATGCAGCTCCAAAGACACAACTAAGAATCAGACTATCAAGTGCTAAGGGAAAAAATGTGCCATTTCCCCAAATTTTTCAGAATATTTAGTAAGTAACAGGGTCTGTCATGTTTAAGTCCAACAGCAAAAATATGGGAAAGTTGTCTGAGATATAAAATCATCATCATGCAACCATAGCTTCTTTCAATCTGAACATCTTGTCTTGACAACAAGGAGATTCCTGCCATTGTGGAAACATAGTCAATCTGGTGAACTGCAAAAAAACCACAACTAGATTTGGTGCTTAATATCCATAAAAATGAAGGCACTAAAATTTTTTGGTGGAGGGATAAGACTGAAACAAACTGAAAAAAGAAAGACTTTATACTAGTAAAGACATGCAGGTAGTGTGAATGTTTTAAAACATACACATGACTGTAAAAGGGTGCATGTATATCTATGTATAAGAGGCCTGGTTTTCAGGTGGAGATGCACAGGGAGAGATATGTATTTTGTACCTTTTTCTCAACATCAGTATGAATACCTGTGTACAGTAGAAATGTAAAAGCTCTCTCCAGACTATGCTGCCTACAGGGAAGAATGTCAAAAAGCAAATACCACCTCAGTCTGGAAAGTGTGTTTAATTTCAGTTGTTATTTTACTTGATCTTTTACAGAGATACAAGGAATGGAAAGTGTTTTACAAGTCAGCATGGTGATGTACTGATCACATAGTAGCTAGGTGCCCTCCTAGATTTCACAAGCTGAAGGAAGACTAAGCCCACCATCATAGCTTTCACACTTTCAGAACCATTTCTTTCCAGTTTAAATTCAAGTAAATTACAGTCACGACAACACTAATCAAACCACCAAATAAATACCACACAGAGAAAAAGTATCCTCTTTGCTGTGGACTTTGCTTACCTCATTATCAGTGGGGACATTCAGGAAATTTCCATGTGAAAGGACGAGTCAGATCCAACACTTAAAAATTAAAAGGATTATGTGGGGAAACTCACCAGTTAAAATTTTCAAAGAAGTAAACCACAGGCAGCTATTTATCCGCCTCATGCTATAAATACTGTTTCTATCATTTAGAAACTATTTAACCAAAACTTTAGTTTTATCAAAAGTTTAGTCTACCTTAGGATCTCAGCCTCACCCCCAAGTGCCATTAGGGTTGGAGTTAGGGTTTGGGGTGTCAAAAGGACTGCAGCCCCAGGAACACTGTACCTGGGATAGGCATGACAAGAGAAGCATGTGCTCCAACAGTCCTGCCTCCACATCCATTTTTAGAATTACAATAATTTTCCTGGGGTTTAAGTCAGTGTACTTAACATATAAATATACATTAAACCAACACAGCACACACTAACAAGCTGCACAAATAAGTCTTCAGTATAGTGACATTTTAATGGCAAAGACTGTAAGTATGTATTTACACAGTGGTTTTATAATGCAAGCTCATGGTAATTGTCCTTTGCATATCACTTTCGTTTGGAAACAAAATCTTCCTTATACACCAAATTTAAAATTGTATGACTAATGGTACTACCCACATGATTAATACAGAGAGGGATATGCATAAACAGATACCCAAAACTTGCATATTGTAAACATTGCCTCAAGATTACAGTTTTGGGAAACCACCTACTGTGTCTAAAGGACACAGACTAACTGAAAACTGAAAGTAGAGTAGAGTAAGTAACTAAAAACTGAAAGTAGAGTAAGTCACTGGTTGCTTTACATGGTTGCTCACACGTTCATAATGCTGATGCATTTGGAGGATATAAATCATCCAAAATACAAGACAATTGGAAAAGTCATAAAGCTAAAGTGCTAGGATCTAGTTAGAGCTGAAGAGTTGTTGCCATGTCTTAAAATGAATTCTGTGAAATATTGAACATATTGTAACTTGAAAACTTAGGTCTTTTCCCTCATTCTCTGGTCCATATCCATGAGTGGGAGAAAAGAGAGGTGAAAAGACACAGGCGCTCAGCCCCCGATCCGCACACATGGAAAGGCAAGTGAGTTGCTCTATTTACCTTTATTTCATCCTGTGGAACTGTCACTCCTTGTGGAAAGCTACAAATCTCTACCTTTAAGTTAAATTACTCTGTTAGTCTGTGAGAACTTGGTTTGGTGAACAGGCTTTATTTAGAAAAGCTTCCTGCGCAACCTTCACATAAAGATCTCATAAATACATCCGAGCATCAGCATTGGCAGCTCGCTATGAGCACGGGCAAGGATGAACTTGCACTTACTGGAAATTTCGAAATTATCTTTTTGAAATGCCGCTATCCTGAAAAATCTTCCTAGGACAAGAGCAGAGGAGATAAGCAACTGCATGAGACAAAGCTTTTCTCACTTCTCTTGAGCAATGAGTATACACCGCATGGGGCTCTGAGCAACTTGGTCTAGTGGAAGGTGTGTCCTGTCCTGGCAGAGGGGCTGGGACTAGATGATCTTTAAGGTCCCTTTCAACCCTCATCATTCTATGATTCTACGCAGCGAGCTATTCGCCGCGGCGATCTGCGCTCGGCTCTGGCATCCTGCATCATTTTTCGAGCGCAGAACTCGCCCGCGCCCCGGACGGAGCGGGATGCCTCCTCCTGTCCAGCGCAGGGGCCGCTCCTTCTGACGGGATGGGGAACGCTCCATGCCCGGCCCGAGGGCCGCGGCCCGCCCGCCACAGCGCTCTCGCGGTGCCCGAGGGCGAGGCCCCGGCGCGGCTCTCCGGGCCCTGCCGGCACCGCGCTCCCCCAGCTCGCTCCTCCCATCCCGGCTGCTCCGCCTTCCCCGACCCGCGAGTCGTGGGACGCTTTTCCGTGAGGAAGTGGCTCGTCGGTGGGGTAGAAGGAGGAGAGAAGCGCTGGCCAGGAGAGCAGGCGGGGCAGGGAGTGCGGGGGGAGCGAGGGAGTGGGGCCAGAGGAGCGGCGCTCCGGGCGCCGCCGAGCCCGGCGCAGTGCGAGCATGAGCGGCGGGGATGGCGGCGGCGGGGGCCGGGCGGGCGTCCTCAGCTACGGCCTCCCCTCCATCCCCTCCAGCAAACTCCCGGACTTGCGTTTTATCAGCCGGGGCGCTTACGGGACCGTGTCCGCCGCCCGCCACGCCGACTGGAGGGTCCCGGTGGCCCTCAAATGCCTGCAGGGGCCGCTGCTAGACAGGTAACGGGGTGGGCAGGGGGCCGCCGGCCTGGGGCATCGCCGGGGCCAGGGCCGAGCCGAGCCGCCTTTCCCTGAGGCAGCCCCCAGAAAGGGGCGAGGTGCCGGTCCAGGATGCCGGAGTGAGTTTCTGAGGTCTGTGGGTTAGATGCTGGTGTTTCGGTAGGCAGCCTTGCTTTAATTCCACGGGGAGAAGGGATCTCACGAGGATGATTCAGCTTGGGCCAAGAGAAAGCACGGACCGGCCCCGGAGCTTCCTCACTTTCGATTATTGTAAGGGGCTGATTTCGGTCTCGGTCTCTGAGACAATAAGTTGTTTCTTTTGGAGTTTTTTCCCTTCTGCACTGTGCGCCTTGAGCCCTCCTCAAGGTGGGATTGACAGAGTGTGGCTTCTTGCTGGGTCTGTTGGTTGCTAACCATTTTGCTGAGGTATCCACAGGATATTAAAGTGCAGCGATTACTGTAGATTTGGTGTTTACATAGCGAGAGGCAAATCGGGAGTATACTGTTCTATCCACTGGAGATTGCTTCTAGAAGAAGCTTCTCTGAGACCACGCAAAATTATTATTTTTCCCCAGATCTCATAGTACTGAGAGAAGATGTTTTAAAATAATAGGCTTGTAGACCCCCCTGCAAAGCTGCTGTTTTCCATGCAGCACTTGGGTTCCCCATTTTCCAGGTACCCAAGTGGCAGCATATTACAGGAGCTGTCACTCCATGCAAGGACACAGCAAGTTGTACTTTTTCATTCGTCATTGTCTTAGTCAGTCCCTATAGTTAAAATTGTTAACGAATCAATGCAAATTTGCCTCTTCTTAGGCTGTCTGAAGCCTACCTGACTGTAAACCTGCCTCTGAGTCATATCTTGCTGTCTTCAAGCTTTTACCTCAGGTTTCTTTGATGTAGTATTAGGCCTTTAGGTAGGACAGTTTCACCCAGAAAGGCTTCTAGTCTTGTGACTCAATATACTTGAATACAAGGCAAGTTGTTTTAAGGTCTTTCACCTCTTATTGCTCAGGTTTGTGTATACACAGGCTTTATCTCTGAAATCTTGCCAGAAGTGGAATCTCAGTTATGTTGTATTTTCTGATAAGCTGTGGGAGGGAGGGATCTGACTGATTGGTGTTGTGGGGGCTTTTTTGTTCTGAGATTTTTTTTTTTTTAATGTCTGCTTAAATCCCAGCTGGAAATACAGCATTTATCCTCAGAACACAGCTAGGAGAAAACACCAAGGCTAATTTTAGCTTTTCAAGAATTTGGATTAGTGGGACATCTAACCTGTGAAATTATGATTAGAAGGCCAAGTGAGGTAATGGGAATAATTCAGTCACTTACCATGATGCCTTAGGTTTTAGCTTTTATATTTCTCAGATTCTGTACTGCTTTAGGATGTAGTTCTGAGCTTCATATTAAGGAATAGTAAGCTCTCACTTCACAGAGAAGTTAGACAAAACAGTTCTTTTCCTAGCTTGGAACCAAGAACAACCACCCAAATTTCAGGCCCAACGGGGACTGAAGAGAGAAAAACAAAAAGGATCAGACTTCATAACCTAAAGCTATAAGTGGACAATTAACTCCAGTATGCTAATGGACCAGAACTTATAAAAGTGAGAGACCTCGTGACTGGTTGTCCATTTTGTGACCATTTTCATCTTGGGTGTAGCCCTGGCTGGGCTCTTGTACTGCCCAGGGTGTGTCCATTGAGGTCTTCTAATAAGTACCTGCTTTAACTCTGTCTAGCCTCTGGTCTAGGTCAGCCTTGATAAGGCATCACCCTATGTCACACAAAGCCCAGAAATGCTGTCAGAAGACTGAAAGCTATAAAAAAAACCATTATACCCAAGTCTGAGCAGCAAGTGCTTGGTTGGCTGTGCAGTAGGCAATATGAAATGCCAGTCTGTAAGTGTTGTCAGGAAAAGGGATGAGTTCATGATGCCATTAATTCCCCGAGTGGGAAGCATGTGCTGTGCATCCCAGAATATGGTATGTGACCAGCCAAAGAGCAAAGCCAGGTGTGAAGCTGTTGTGGGAATGTGCTCATTTAGGCATTACTCAGTGCCCTTTGGCACGGAGCAGACAAAGGTGAAGTGACTGACAGGCACGGGAATAGACCGCATATGGCGCAATTTGTTTCCCAGCCACAGCTGAATCCCATGCTAATGTGCCTTACTGTCTTGGAAAACCCCAAACTTTCTCAGGCCTAGTCATTTCTGGAGAGAGGGAGGAAGGTGTAGGGTTATCTCTTTGATCCCATGCTTGTCTCATAGGCTGCCTTTTTACTTCTGTCATTTCCTAGGATTTCCTATAAGTCTTTTTCTGTCACACAGATAAAAGGACCTTAATTTCATATCTGTCTAAATCAGAATTTCCTGCTGCTAAGAGCTGCATGCTTTACTTCACAAGGCTTCCTCTTTTCCTCATATATCCTGACAGCCTTTTCTTTGTGAGTGCTAAACCCACCTTGATGGCCAGCTCTCACCCTGGAGCTGTGCTGTGCTCATAGCACAGTGCTCTGCTGAACAAATCGTGGTGGGCATAGCCCTGGCCCCAGCACAGCCCTATTGCTTCGGAGTCAGACTGGCTCACATCCAAAGGGTCAGTGTGCTGTAAATGTCCTGTATTTGAATATCCTAGTCATATACTTGTACCTGCACCAGTCTCCACTAGGATCTAAATGTTTTTTTCACTGAATTATGCTTTATGGTCTAACTATCCTCATTGACAACAAACCCATTTTTTTCAAGACTGTTTGAGATATAAGGCATACCATATGGTTTCTATTTTCAGGGATGGAATCATACTCAATCTTAAATAAAATTGACCCTCTCAAACCCACATGCTGCAAGGCCTAAATTTGTAAAGATGCATCAAATCCACATTTATGAGGAGTTTTGAGGTAACAGAGTGGATCTGCACAGTCAAATTCAGGCATGCAAAGGCACCCGTCATGAGGCTGGTCTATTCCTGCTTCCTGTGCATCTAGGGGATGTTTTTTCCATAGAGCAATTCAAAGCAGGACCTGTTTGACGGAATAATTTATGTGAAAACAAAGCGTAGTTAATTGTTCCTTTTCCTTCAGAAAGGAACTTACTTTCCTTCAGAAGTCAAAAGTGCATTCCTTTAGCCTCTGTTTATTAGTGTACATTACAGTCGACTAGATTTAAATGGTTGGAGAATCATGTGTATTAAAATCTCCACTCTCTTGGAGATAAATATTGGGCTTGAGTGAAAAGTTGGGTTTGAAGGTGTTCAGTAAAGTGGGAGAAATGCAGCTGGTTGTTACCATTATGGTTCCAAGCAATGGTGGAAGCTGGAAGTTCTAACTTTATCCTTATTTATCGGAAACATGGATGAAATGTGTGATGGAAATAAATTTGTGTGGTACAACAAAACCAGGGAAGCTGTCTTGTCTGCATTTGCAGGTTCTGATTTGTCTTACACTGTCTTGTTCTCAAAGCAGCATGGTAGAAATCCAGTGGTGAAGAGGTGGTGCATACAAGGAATTGACAGAGAATATAGTGACCCCAGCATTTGCTTGGAGTTTCATAGTACTGGTATGGTAATGCATTTTATTTGTTTGCTTGTTTTCTTTAAGCGATAGAAACCACCTTCTAAAAGAAGCAGAGATCTTACACAAAGCCAGGTTTAGTTACATTCTGCCAATTTTGGGAATCTGCAACGAGCCTGAATTTCTGGGGATAGTAACAGAATACATGACCAATGGGTCATTAAACCAGCTATTGCATGGGGTAAGTGTACTTATGGTCTTTAAATATGATACCTGGCTACTCCAAGTAGATTGCAATCTTCATACTTAATATAGTAAAATATTTTATTTATAATATTTCATGCTAGAAGACAGTCAGTATCCCTAGTAGTTTTGGTGCTCAGATAGACCTTCTGTATCTCAAAACCACAACTAAACTCAGCTGACTTAATGTTGTGACATTTTTTCTTTAATGTTGTGACCTATAACGAGTTTTTATGTTGAGTTATTACATACAGTTTAAAAATCTCAGTTGTTCTCTAATTAAATTCTGAAATACTTATGCTTGTTTCAGTCTGGGTTTCTGAATTACTGCCAATACAAATATTGATTTTTTTTCCATGAGTTTGAATATTTTAAAAAAAGAAAATTTTTACTTTCAATTATAGAAGCTAAATATTGCTAATATAAACAAGTATGATTATTTCTACCAGACCTTATTCTTTGAGTAACTTCTCCTGTGCTGAACTCTCAGTTGCTCCAATTAGTTTGGCCTGAGCAGTGTTGCTACTGCAAAGCTGCTGCATTTGTGTCTCAATAGCACTAAAGTCTCTTCTCTACCTTTAATCAATACACATCTCATGCCTAGAGAGCTCAATTGTGGTTTTCATAAAGGCATTAGTGTCAATATAACTTCTGAGACCTCAGTTAAGTTTTACTACATTTTTCTTGCTGTATTATTATTTATAAAGATAGTATTTTGTGCATAGTTTCAATACAGTTTTTTTTTTTTGGTTCCCCAGTGTCAGCTGCAGATATGATTTTTGTCATTCTTTGTGTAGGAGTCATAAATTGTGGGTTACAAGTTTGATGCAGAGGTTCATCTGTAATTCTTATTTCCATATGAATGAGTGGTGTAGTAAATGTTCAACATCATGTATAGCAGTCATGAACTACTATGTGAATGCTAGGGAATGGAAAAATAGCACTGCATAATTATTATTTTTTGATAATGTTTCTTTAACAGCTAATGAGTCTTAATGCACCATTACAATTTGACCATTACAAATTTTTCAGGAGTTTGTATGTTTTAAAAGATTATTGTTTGCCCAAGTAATTTTCTTCTTCTTTTTATAAAAGAAGTCTTTGTGTGTGCTGTTAGAAGAGAGGATTATATTCTGGTTTTGTGGTTTTATCTTGGCAGAAAGATGTATATCCTGACATTCCCTGGTGCCTGAGATTCCGCATTCTTTATGAAATTGCTTTGGGAGTAAACTATTTGCACAACATGAATCCTCCATTGCTGCACCATGACTTAAAAACACAGAACATTTTGTTGGATGATGAGTTTCATGTCAAGGTAGGATTATTTAATTCTTATGTTCTTCAGCATCCAGAATGAGTGAAAGTGTTTTCATTATTGTAGAGGAGGAAGGGTGAGGTTGTGGCCTTACAGAGAGGATGTAATTGTATGGTGGATTTTTATTTCTATCCTTGCAGACAGAACGTTGGAGTATTTCTTTTGGAAGCTCTGTATTACTCAGTTGTGGATTTTATCTGTCTGAATAGACCAGGAAAATAGAAGTTAGGCTGTTTCTGCTATAGCAGTAGCTGGTACTCAGTAGTGGTGACACTCTTGTTTGTCGGCCTTCCAAGGCTAGCTGTATCTGGCCCTTCCTCAGAAGGAAACAGAAAGTGTTCTTGCCTGAGATGCTCTGACAAGTTACTTCTGATAGGCAATAGGTCAAGTTCAAATGTTAATGCTCCATTTGATATTTACCATGCAATATGGACATTTCTATTCTGTTGGGGTAGTAACAGAACATGTAAAGCAAACTCCAAAATCTTACTATGTTGGAAGGTGGCTTTTGTAAAGCTCCTTAGAACAAGCAAACATACATGCAGAAGTATCAGTAATTACAAACTTTAATTCTGCCTGTTAAAATATCACTGCCATGATGTGAAAAAGGGACTGAAAGTACTTCTGATAAAATGCTTAGATGCTTCCATAATTGCAAGAGTTTGTTTTGTTGTTTGTTGTTATTTTAAAAATATCTGGTTTTTATAATTGATAGAATATGTTACTCAAGTAATTGGAAATAAGAGATATTTTGCACTAAATTTATACTTGAAAAGTGAATGTTTTAGTTGCTACTGTAAGTTGACTCTCCTTGTGACTCCTTTGAGCAAAGATCCGCTGCTGGTTTCTTCATTCTCCACTGCACAGAAATTTTTCTTGGCAGCAAAGTGCCTCACATGGCTTTGTCTCTGCTCACACCCTCAGCTGGTCATACTTCCTCCCACTCAGTTGTGCTGGTATTGCTATCTCCCGAGCTTCCTGATAAACCTGATCAGGGAGCTAGTCCAAGTCATTTTTTTATCCACTCTGGTTTTAATCCCTAACAGCTTTGGTGTGGCCTGGTGCTCTGCCTGATCATATCTGAACAGTTTCTTTGCTGAGGCACTGGAAGGGAAGAGGTGAACTCTTGCATACCTGCCCTGCCTCCTGTAAGGAGTGTCCTTGGGGTTTTAAGTGAAGCAAGATTCTCTAAACTAGTACAGTGACAGGAAATGTAAACAAGGTTTATCATGCATGCCAAACAGAAGAGATACTGCATATGTATAAAAGTCACAGCATTTACAGGGTGCTTCTGACTGTCTCTGATCTGCTGAATGAGCAAGACTTAAGACCAATTACAATGAGGAAGGCTTGATGAGAATGAGTTGTAGAGAAGAAAGGTTACTTTTCATTGTGGATTTTGATGTATGCTCTTCAGAAAGCTTGTTGCTGTTGTCTTAACTGCCTTAGTGCTTGACAGGCATCTTTGTTGAAAATGTTTTTGCTGTTGTGCAGATGCTGGACAAGTGCAAAGCTGATAGCTGGCTGCTTATCTCCCATGTATACCAGACACTGCAGCTCAGCCAACAGGTGCATTCTGCTAAGTGTCTCTCTCCTTATCCATAACCTAATCAGACATCTGGTGCCCTGGCTTATGGATGTCTGAGGATGTAAAGGGAAGTCAGTTACTTATTTATGTAGATGCACTGTATTGTGTAGAAAGGAGCAAGGCTCCAGAGTGCACAGTAAAGAAATTATTCAGCAACTTTTTGCAGCACAGAATTTCAGAATATCAAATTTATTAATTCAGGATTAATACGTCATAGTTTTAGGAGTGAGGTGAAGTGCCTTAAAATTGTTCTGTGAGAAGAGCTGCCTTTGGATATTAGCAAGCTGAGTTGTGTACAACTACTGCAATTTATACTAAACTTGTGCTTTCTTCACAACTAGGGAGCTACAAGTAATCAATGATTTTTTTGTTTGCTTTTTTTATCATAAGAAAGGGATTTTCTTCATATGGCACAGCTATCTACAGCAGATTCCTCATCCATAGTGTACATGACTCCTTCCTTAAAAGAGCAGGTTAGGGCAGTGCTACAGGTATAGCATGAGTCACGACCTGGGAATGCTTTATGGACTGGAGTTGATGTTCCCTGTTGCTAGGAGAACCACATACTTTTTGTGTGTCAGGTTAGGAGCTTTGGGTCACCCCTTTTCCTGGGTGTATTTCAGGAATTTCTAGCAACTGTCATCAGATAAAACCGGTTTTTCTTCTCAGAACAATTGATTTGACCTTTGCAGATTGCAGATTTTGGCATGTCCAAATGGCGTGTCATATCCACGTCCCAGTCCCGAAGCGAGTCCTCCTTGCCGGAAGGAGGGACAATTGTCTACATGCCACCTGAGGATTACAACCCCAGTCAGAAAACCCGGGCAAGTGTGAAACATGACATCTACAGGTAACTCCTGTTGATCTCTAGTGGGGCTTGAAATCCGAGCTCAGATATGATTTACTGAACTTAGATTTTAGCATATTCTCAGCAGTTCTATTATTTTCAATGATAATATCACAGCTATATAGGCTGAATGAATTGGGAAATAAAGAATTGAGTGATAGCTGGATTTAAAGACTTTTGTGCTGTGACAAGTGTAATGCTCCAGAACTAAGCTGAGACTACAGAAATAGGTGGGGGACTGTTTTCTGTAAATGAACGTACACATACAATTCAGAAAAGAAGAAAGCCATTCACACCATCAAGTCAATGCACATACGCTTAAAATTTGTGTAATCAAATAACATAATTTCAGAATGTACTTGGGGGAAAGAAGAAAATGTATTTTTGGAAAGGAGGTAGATAAAAACAGGATAGTGGGGTTGGAGAAAGCAGTTACAGTAATCTTGTTAAGGAATAATTTACTTTGTGAAAGTTGTGGTAGTTTTGTGTTGGCTGAGTACAAGTAGTAGAATAGTAAATAGAGTAGGGATGACCCATGTAACAGAAGGAAATCTCTCTGAGGATATTGGAGTTAAAATAGGCTGGTCTAAAATGGTTTGGAGAGCTCAGAGATTATGTTAAGAATTTTGGGAGGAATTATCATGTGTAAAGGAAGATTGAGAAGGCGTGAACTTGCCAATCACTGTGACAAAGTCATATTGTCACATCATTCTGGTGCAGTCTGCCACCTTTACCTTCACTGATCTCTGACATGGTTATATCTTGGTGAGAGATGACTCAGGCTCAGAGAGTCCTACTGACTTCCACTGTTTCCCTTAATTATCCCTTAACCCTAAGAAGCACATGAGGTTCCTTGACATCCCTGTGCAAAGACTACAGATGACAACACACCTGCTTTCTTTACCCTTTGATGAGAAGATATTGATAAGGAAAACATTGAAAAGAAAAAAAGGTGTATTGGGAGGAAAGAAAGGGTGACTGACAGCTTTAATGAATGGGTGGAGAGGAAGAAGACAAATATTTCTTAGAAAGAAAATAATATTTTCAGAGGAATAACAACCAAATTGGAGAAAATATGAGAACACATCAGAAGGGCATAAAAACCAGATAAATTAGGAAGGAAAGAGATTATGTGAGAGGAAAGGAGAGAGACTGAGACAACATTGGAAAGAGAGGTGTTCAAGGCAGGAAGACATGAAGGTGCAGAGACAGTAAAGAACCACCAGAAACGCCACACAGGAGGTTCCATGCTCACTATCAGCAGGAGATGCTACAAAACAGAAATAAGAAAGGAAAACAGGAATAGTGTAAAGGGGAATGCTGCAGTGTTGTAGAACTGAGAAAATAATCTTTAACTGTAGAGAGATTCCAAACTGAATGAAAGATATTGTTAAATAGCTGGATATTTTCTGGATGTCAAATTAATTGATCATAGCTGAGTGTTGCTGAGATACTGAAGCTAACTTGTGAGAAAGGAACTTTCTTAAAGAAACAAATTATTTAAACAACAATCAATCAGCTTAACTTCTACAAAAAGGATGATTTGCTATACCAATTGCATGGATTTGCCAGGAATACATCAAAACCAGACTTTTCTAACAGGGAGGACTGCTTTTATTAAAAGCTGCATAAGTAAATTTTATCACTGAAGAATGTTAAAATGTAAACAGGGTAAATAGAAAAAATCAGTTTATATGATTTGATTTTAGACATCAGTTATTTGTTTTTGCTTTATTTTTTTGAATTCTTATTTGGTAGCTGTCAAATGGTACAGTGCTTTAAGGCAGTTAACGTAATTGTATGCAAAATTTGGCACTTCTTAGTGTTGTAGGAAGGAATCTCAGTACATTCATACCAAGGATAGGGATCAAGCCTTAGCAGCAGTTGATCGTGGTGATTATTTTCTGTAATGACACTGCCACAGTGCTTATAAAGACTTGGACTGAAAACATGGAAATACACACTTGTCAGCACCTTGAGTGCATTCTGAAGTTATGGAAGCACCAAAGCTTTAGCCTGGATTGTCCTTTCTAAATCCAGAACCAGATACTTGAATACAGTGCTGTGATTAATACTGGGACCTTTTCATGGAATAGACCTTCATTCAGATATGGTAGAGTATGTAAGGAAAAGTTGCAGAGAATGACTGAGAATTCAATGCTGCTTTGATATGAAATCTTCTAACCTTATTTAAATTAAAAAGTTGTTTAAAGTTACCTCTTTCTATTATATCCTGATGGCTGAAGAGAGTGACTATTTTACTAAAGATGGGGCAAGTTCGTGCTCACTGAACCCCTTGCCATTCATGTTGGTGTGAATAGAAAAGGAGGTCACTGAGTAAGCACATGTGTGTTCAATATCGTGGCATTAGTTCAGAGTAGTCTTCCCAAGTGTCTTTTTTGGAAAGTGAATGCTGTGTTTAAGTAACATCTCTCCCTATGGAGAAGGCTGTGGATGTTGAAAGCATATATGGGGAAGGAGGAAGTTGGAGTGGGCATCCCAAGTGCAAGTTTGTATCTTGCCTGTCTCTGTGAGGATGTCTTGGGATAGAGCTGTGGCTCAAAGCCATCCTCCCTACTAATATCCAGCTTCCCTTGGGAATGTCTGGGAATGTCAGTCCATACTGGGAAGATGCCAGAATATTGCAGTTAGGACAGAGCACTTGGCTCTCTGGGGCTCACTTTAATTTGTGTGCTCAGATTTAAACTCCATGTACGTAATTCACAACATATTAGCAGAGCCAAGTTGATACAGATTTGGAATAGGAGTTTATATGCCATAGATTTTGTCTGTACCTAATAGTATTATTTAGTTCAAGATGAGTTCACTTGCTAGTTTTCATATATTCATGTCAACATTTTAGTTAGCTATAGTCAGTCCCATGCATGCTTACAGGATCATTTTACCAAAATGTTTTAAATACAATGTAAAGCTGAGCATATTGTGTTGTTAACTGTCTGTAGCCTAAAATAACATCTTCTGTACTTTTTATACTGTAAACAGCTATGCAGTTATCATATGGGAAGTGATGTCAAGGAAACAGCCATTTGAAGGTAAGACCATGTCTTCCTTTATTTTTCATGCCTTACCTAGAGGTTAAACATGAAACCTGGGGACTTAATTATAGGGGTTACTTTCTAATAATTCAACTTTTAAGCTTATTGAAGAACACTTTGAAATACTTTTCAAATTAGACTATATTTTTAGTATCTTTTTCAATTACAGTGTTGTTTCATAAATTAAGAATACCTTTTCCTTAATCAAGAAATGTAACCTTATATTGATTATTTACATTCTGTGTGTGTAAATGGAATTACTTCTCCTATACAGTAAGCTCTTTATATTGCATATATTTCTAATGACTTCACAATGTCTGTTTTGACAGAAGTTATAAACCCCTTGCAGATAATGTACAGCGTGTCACAAGGACAGCGACTGGACTTGAGTGAGGGAAGTCTATCAATGGACATTCCTCATCGAGGGCTGATCATAAGGCTGATGGAAAGTGGATGGGCACAAAACCCTGATGAAAGACCATCCTTCTTAAGTGAGTTTACCTTGCCAGGTTTCTGTTGAACATGGTACTATAGTGCAAGGCTATAGTCTTGAAAGGGAAGTGTTGAAGATGTCAGGAGATCTATGTGCTTGGTCCTGTCCTGCTGCTTGTCATAAAGTGCTTGGCTGCTTCCTTCATGTCTGTAAACAAACTTTTACGAATGGAATTATGTGTGTGCCATAAAACCAAGTTGGCTGTTGGAGTCTTTTGTATTTACTATCTCTTAATTTACCTGTAAAAAAGCCACATGTTTTGTTTAACTACTTGTGTTTGGAGGTTTTTGTTTATTGTTGAAGATAATTTGGGGTTTTTTTAAGAGGGGATGGGAGAAGTGAAGTATAAAATGAGTACTGTGGGATTTATGAGCATCCAGCCAACACCAATGAACCACTGCACATCAGATAAGTTGTAGTGACTTCAGTTTGTATTTGCATCTCAGTGTAAATCTTTCACTGACACTTTAATTGTTGCATCTCCTTTATCAAGCAAGAACTGAATTTTTTTTTCCAAGCAAGGAAATGTATCTAAATACAATATTTTCTAAAATAAAAAAAAATAGGCACATTGTGACATTTCCATATGCATTCTTGTTTTCCTATGCCAATTAACAAAAAAAATAGTAATTTAAGTATGTGGTCACACTGAAGAGAAAATTATCTGGCCCATGTACTGTAGTGTGGGCTAACTTGGATTCTCTTTTTAGTGCCATGTGTGTAGTAAGATGGTCTTTGAAAAAAAAAAATATGTTGCTTTTGCCACTACTTTACTATCATAAAAGGAAAGAAGAAGTTGCAAAACTATTGCAAAATTAGGGGAAGTGCAGCTCACTGATGGGGAACTTAAGCAATTACTGTAGCATAGGAGCACTGACACACTGAGGCCAGTGTCATTTGGTTTCACTGGGTGTGATAGGTCAGTGCTTTGACTATCCCATCTTCTCTGGCCCTGCCTCATGCCTTAGGCATGTGTTCTGGATATTGCTGTGTTGGTGGTGTGTTTGTTTATTTTTCTGGTATAAATCTTTAACACCTCCTCTGGAGTGAGAAGACAGCAGCCCACTCTGAGGTCTTATGGTGTTTGGGTCCTATTCAGCTAATCAGGCGTGATGGGGCTACTTTAAAGCATAGCAAACCACCAATCTCTCCATTCCATGAGTGTGAGACTTGCATTATCCCAGTCCAGCATTATTCTGGATCTCTTGTGGTACACATTTCTTTTGGCGGTGTGAACTGTTCTAAGAGAAGCAAGCAGCTTCTGTTTTAGCAGCATAAGTGGTTTGATATGTGCCAATAGAAAAATTATTTTTGTGAATGTAAGAAAGACACTTCAGTACAGTGACAACTTGATTTCTACTTCAAACCATTCACCAAGTATTCTTTATCTGTTCAGAATGTTTAATAGACCTGGAGCCAGTTCTGCGAACATTTGATGAAATAGCTATGCTGGAAGCAGTACTTCTCTTAAAGAGATCAAAGGTAAGTGGCTTTTGTCACAGTCATGAGTTGGTCAAGTTAGTTGGTGACTTTCACTTTCTAAAAGGAGTCTTATCTCCTTTGTCATTTCTTGTGAGTTTCCTTTTTCTAATCTTGTATCTCGTTGAAACATGCATTTGTGTGGGATTGTCATCTTACAGCAGAAATTTAATACAGGAAAATATTTCTCTTCCAGTCACTATATGAATCACAAAGTATTTACAAGAGTGGAAAGAAAGCAAATGTGGAGCAGATTCCTCTAAATATACCTCTGAATCCTGAAAAGGTAAATACTTCACGTGTTGCATTTGGTATGTCAGCATCCTGAGAGGTTAAAGGAAGTTTAATGTGGTAAGGGAAGCTGTTCTGCATTTTGCTTCCTGTACAGTCAGGAAAGGCATAAAATGCATTACTTGAGCCAGGGTGTAACAAATGCAAAGCCATATATGTGAAGATAGAAAAGGGTGAGTATGCAGAAATTAGAAGGGCATCTAAATATGGGAAAGCTCTAAATATGGCATGGAGCTGTCCAGGGGAGGTTTAGGTTGGATATCTGGAAAAGGTTCTTCACCCAGAGGGCAGTCAGGTACTGGAACTGGCTCCCTAGGAAATTCATCACAGCACCAAGCCCAGCAGAGTTTCAGTGTTTACACAATGCTCTTGGGCAAATGATTCTTGGGGTGCTCCACCAGTTGGACTTGATGATCCTTGTGGGTCTCTTCCCACTCCACATATTCTGTGAGTCTGTGATCCCCTCAAAGAGGAATGCACATAATGCCTGCCAATTGTGAGAGATTGTCTGCTACTCCCTTACACCTCTATGGAGCTTGCTTGTAAAGGGTAATATAGATTTGTATTTATATTTTGATTCCTAATGCTGTTGCTTTTGGTTCTTACTAGTAGTTAACCTTGTATACAAATTGCTGTCATATTTGAAAATATATAAGTGTTGGGATTACATTCTTTCTTCTGATTTACCATATCTTAATTGTGCTGTCTATTGAGCATTTAGATAGCAGGGAAAACATGGTGATGGAAAAGTTCTCTGTAAAAACATTGCAACTTCATATTTGTTTAATGTGCCTGTTCAATATACACCTGGATTTCTTTCAGCCAACATATTCTAGCTCCATAGAGTGTGATGCACTTCCCCTTCGGAGCATCCCTCCAGATACAACAAAATTCAAGTCTATTCCCCAGTGTAATATCCTCTCATCAGGTGAGATACTCTTGACTTTGTGTAAATTTAAGTTGCCATTACAGCTTTACATTCACTCTGTGACATTGCATTTATGTAGTAGAAAATTTGGTCTCTGTATGTCAGGAAAAAAAATGTCTTTTGTAAACTTTGTTCTCTGGGTAAAAAACTAGCCCTTTTAAGCTCTGATTTTCTGTTCCTGTCACCTGAGAAGTCTTTAGAGCTCACAGGTTCAGTTTTCCTATTCAGAGTTGTGAGTGCAGAGCTAACATTTTCTTGTCTCTTCAGGCTCTTGGCAGTTTAGTTAACTGGGTTTGTTTGTTTGTTTGTTTTTGTTCTTATTTGTTGTTTTTTGTTTTGTTTTAACTAGTTCTGAATATAAAAAAGGCAACACATTTTAAGGCATTCTAGAAGCTGAGTAATCTCAAAGTTTCTAGTGCAAGTTTCTAGATAACTTTTAATTCAGTAAGTAAAAATGTCTTTAATAGACTGCTTTGCAAAAGTATCTGCACAGACCTTTTGTAGATGTCCCGTTTTATGAATAAAAGTTGGCGAAATTCCCTGAGAAAACTCAATTTTGAGGTTTTGCTGATATCAGAAGCCAGAAGCATACACTAGAACCCAGGTGGAATAGCAACACATTGTGAAACTAAAACTGCATTTAAGTTTCTTCCCTTGACAGAATGTAAACATATTTCAAAAGAATAGAGTGTTCTCTGGCATTATAGGGACCAGGGGTATGAAAGCAGACAAGACTTTTCACTTCACTGCTAAAAAAAAGTTCATCAAAAAGTATTTTGAGGTGCTGCAAAACCAGAGATCCAGAGATACTCTGGTAGAGGTAGGAGAGCACAGGCAGTTCCTGTTTCAGCTCCTGTTTGAACACACACATATTTTTCAACTTCTGCTCAGAGTACTAGAAAGGTATAAATACAGGAGGAACTTGGGTGAAAAAACTACAGGAGCCTTAAGGACTTACAGTTACTGGAGAAAATGGCAGAAAGCAAGTGCAGGGTCCTTTGGCTGTACCTCAACTGAAGCATTTATCTATACAGCATAGTAACCTCAAGGATGAAGAATAACTCATATTTACCTAGCTTAATAAGTGTGTTGTGATGAATTTTAGAACATGGAATATTAGTTTGAGCATGAGCATGGACTGTAAGGGTAATTACATAAGATAATGATAAATATCAGCCTTTCTTGCTGCTGGTTCTTGTTATGAATTGTTGTGTCTGCCTGTGGAGGGAATCAATGAAAAATTATTGATTTATTGGTACAATTAATCTGATTGCTCAGCTGGTGGTTGTTTTATGGAATCATTGCTCAGACTTTATTGTGTTTATGTATAGATACTGTAAATTTTGTGAAAATGCAGCCTACAAAACTCAGCTGCAGAAGAGTTTGTTATTACTTTGCCAATAGCTGCAGCAGGTAGTGTTATAGTGGGAAGCAAGACTGACATTCATCTTGCTTTTCAAACTCACCTGCAATTGTTTTAGATGAAAAATCTATTCCAGGTAGCTGTTAGCAAGAGAGGAGTTTGGCATGGCATGAAGGCAGAAGTTAATGACTACAGAGTCTAGCTGAGTTAATGACTATAGATTCTTGTTTTTTCCATCAATACATTTTGAATACTTTTTCAGAATATTGCTTCTTCAGAGTTAAGACTTGTCTTCTAGCCTTCAGCCTTTCTTTTCAATTTTACTATTTTTTTTCCCCTTCCCTAGTGAGCTTTTCTTGGGTATTTCCTTAAACAGCTCTTTTCCCTCTTCCCATTTCATTTCTGATACAGTGTAATCCTTTAATATAGTTTGTTTTGCTAGATGAACAGGATGCACTCGTTTGAAATCCCTTTGTAAAATAAACTTCTTTATTCACATAATATCCTAACTAGTCCTCCTGGTACATGTTCTGACTTAAGTGAATTAAGGCTACGTAGTATTATGAGAGACATGACAAACTTTTTCTGTCTACAAAATCCCCCTTACTTACTGTACCTTAGAATTTTATTTTTCCTTTCTCGCAAGATCCTTCATTACAGAGTAATCTACTTAGGGGTTGTTTTTATTCCTCATCTCACTTCTAATCATTAGCCCCAACTTGAAACAGAAAGTCTATCTCTCATATTTTTTCTTCTTTTTCTATTTCTGTTACTCCATTCTTCTAGGTCACCTAGGTTCTTTTTGAGTAACTTGAGTCAATCTGGATTTTTCTGAATAACATTTGACTAACTCCCAATAGCATTTTTTTTTTGAGGGAGTTGTTTAGCATGGAGAAAAGGAGGCTCAGAGAGGAAATTTTGCTCCTTTGCTCTCTGCAACTACCTGAGAGAAGATTATGGCCTGGTGGGGGCCTCTTAACTGACAAGCAACAGCAGCAAGCAGTATGCTAAGAGGAAATGCCCTGAGCTGTGCCAGGGGAGGTTTAGATTGGATATTAGAAAAAAATTCTTCATGGAAGGAGTTGTCAAGCATTGGAACTGACAGGCTGCCCAGGGAAGTGGTTGAGTCACCAGCCCTGGAGGTATTAAAGGATGTCTAGACATCCTTTTGGATGGCATTCAGGACATGGGGCAGTGGTGGACTTGGCAGTGCTGGACTCAATGATCTCAGGGTCTTTCCAATGGAAACGACTGTGTGATTTTATGATTGCATTTTCTTATGCTGTGTTCACTGGTCTCATTCTCTCATACCAGTACAAACCCTGTAGTTTTGTCTTTATGTTATGAAATTAAATTTGTGTGTCTAAAAATGTATAACATCCCAGCACAGCTGCTTGGAATTCTTTCCTGAAATGATCTTTCACTCACAGTGTTGTCTCCTAATCCCCTTTTTCATGCCATAGATAATATCTGCTGCTTCACAGTACAAAGCTCTGCCCAACTTTTTGCCTTGTTCATGAAATAAAATACTAGTTACTATGAGTTCTAGTCCATCATTTTAAAATACTGAGAATGGAGTTTCTTCCACATTTTCCTATTCCTGCTCTGTGTACTTACAGACATATTCTTCTACAGGTCAAGAAAGAGCTGGGAATACAACTTCAGATTTCCCCATTGGACAGGTAATCTCAAGTTGTCCATGGGGCTACCTCACTGTGTTTAGATGCTCATGGGAATTCTTGCATCTCTGGTTCTTGGTTAACATCTTAGTTACTGTGTCTTTATCAAGTGACACTGTGAAAGTCTAATCAGAGCTATTTGCAGAGCTAGGCACATGTCCTGTAGTTCGTTTCTCACCAGCTCTTTGTTACCTGCTCCTTGTGTTATTGCAACTGCTGCTTTCATATCCATCACCATTTCCACTATAAAAAATTGTAAAGCTAGAAACTGTTCAACTTCCCCCCAATAGAAATCCTTTTTACTTTTCTTTGCAAAAGTTTACATGAAGCTTTCATGAAGTCATATCCTGTTTTGATGGACTACAAAAAGCTTCCATTGACCTCCCACTGAATGTTACCTTCTCCCACTGCTCTTCATGTCCTTTTCCCCCATCTGAATCTTTATTTTAATATTTTCGTCTTTGTTACACTGCCAAACTTCATCAAAATAAATTAGTCTGCTTTCCTGCTGACTTTTAGTGACCTTTCCAAATACTCAAAGGATTTATTTTATTCTTCTAGTCCCTATGAAGAGATTTTTTGTTGAAGTTCACATCTACCAGATTTATACTCCCATATACTCCTATTTCTTTAAAATAAAGCAGGACCCCATACCATAGTCAAGCCTTGGTAAAATACGAGGGACATAAATGTATTCAGAATTTGAGTATAAGGACTAATCTGTTGTATATGATATAAAAGTAGTTGGTTTACGACTTCTGTGAAACTGCTCTAAATAGTCTCTGATGGGAGTATTTTATTTGTACACAGAAGTAATACAGCTTATTCTTTTTCTTTTTTTTGTCTTTTTCTGTCTTTTTTTTTTTTTTTGTCTAAGATGGAAGTTCTGGATGTCTACACTCTCTTATCAGCCAGAGCACAGATGAAAATCTGTCTGTAACTCAGAGTGCCAAACTGCTTGTGCATCCATACAGTGCTGGTCTCTCACCTGCCAGGGGTGTTTCAGATGGCCCAAGTTCTGCATCCCACGTGCTGCGGTCATCGCCAATTCCTCCAGGTACAGCAAACACTGTTTGACTCAACACCCACAATAAGTGTTCTGATATTGAATGTGTGTCTGTATGAAATGGAAACTAGAACTGTTACCCACCAGCACATGAAAACAAAAAATTGCAAATTAAGAGTGCAAAATTAAGTAATTCTGTCCTTGTAGACTTACATTACAAAGTAAGCAAAAACAGTGTAAAATGTGGCCAAGTACAGGTACCTGTACCTTCTAGCTTTTTTTCTCTCCTCCTAATCAGATTCCTGCTGCCATCAGTTTTCTTTATCCCATTTCCTCTGCTCATAGTATTTCTATTTCCTACAGCTGTTGCAGTGCTACAGTCCAGCAGAACAGCAGGAAAACTTAGCTCAAACTTAGTCACCTTCTTGCCTGTCACTTCTCACTTTTTAGGCTTTCCAGTCTTCTGTTTAGCAATGGTGGGGCTGAGAGAAGCAGCAACTGTGTCAGCATCTTACCTGTAATGATCCTCTGTTTTAGTTGGGAGCCCACTACATTGTACTTTTATGTGTCAAATAACTGTTAAAAGTTAACACAAAAGTTAACAAGAGGAAACTTCAATGAGTAATTAATTCAGGTATATTTTTTGAGGGGCCACACGAAAACATGCAACTTTTTAAAGATCTGTTGCATCATCCCTCTCCTGAAAATATGAGAATCAACACCCTTTCACTGTGTGAAACCTCACCTTGAGAAAAATTCCAGGAAACCACAGGGATGTTTTCAGTAATCTTCAATAAAAATCCCCCTGGAAAGTGAATTTACTACCTGTCTCTTTTTAGTACCAGGTCGGGTTGAACACTGGAACAGGGTGCCCATGGAGGCTGCAGAAGTACCAACACTTGGAGATGCTCAAAATTCAGCTGGACAAGGCCCTGAGCAACCTGAGTTATCCTTGAAGTTGGCCCAGCTTTGAGCAGGCCATTACATCAGATCACTTCCTTGAGGGTCCCTTCTAACCTAAATTATTCTGTAATTTAGATAGAATAAATACTCTAACCATTAAATTTGTTAAATTGGATCATTTTAACAGGTTTTTTTCAGTTTGTTCGTTGTTCTGTGGCAATATTTGTTTACAGTTACCATCCCTTCCTTTTTTCTAATCCTTTCCAATCTCAGATTTTGTATTGGAAACCATACAAAAGAATGTAGCTCATCAGTGGATCCAAAGTAAAAGAGAAGAAATTATTGATCAGATGACTGAAGCATGTTTGAATCAATCACTGGATGCTCTTCTATCAAGATTTTTACTCATGAAAGAAGATTATGAACTTATAAGCACCAAACCTACAAGGACATCAAAAGTACGACAATTGCTTGATACTTCCGACAGCCAAGGAGAGGAATTTGCCAGAATTATAGTACAGAAGTTGAAAGATAACAAACAGCTAGGACTTCAGCCTTATCCAGATATTGTATCTAATTCTCAAAGACTGCATCTTTAAATTTATTCTTTCTTTATGAAACCATGTGAATATTTCTTACAACATGATTCTTGTTTCTAATATAGTATTTTATTTATGTGCAGCTTTGTCTTTGCTGTGCCTTTGTAAGAGTATCAGAAATGACCCTGAGTTCTTCTGGCCTGCATTTGGTCAGTGACCAATTAATAATTTGGAGTGAAGTCATAAAACCAAACACTTGACAGTTGCTGACTCATTTTGTAAAAGTATTTTGTTTATACATGACAAAAACATTAAAGATTTACCATTTTTCATATTTGTTGTTTATACACATCCTTTCCTTTCATCTCACAGGATTGAACATCTAATCTTAACATTTTTTTCTCGTTCCATCTGCTCTTTCTCACAGAGGAGGGAAAAAAACACCTTGGTGCTCTTTTCCAGAGCTGTTCTGCTGAGTGTGTAATAAACTTCCTTCCTTAAGCCATGCTGGTGTGCATACAGGAGAGGACTGGTAGGTGGGAGGAAGTTTATATTGCATTTCTGCAGGATTTTTTATTGTTTTGTTTTGTTTTTCCCATTTTGTTGCCAGAGCAAGTGCCTCAGACCACAGCATAAGAAGAATTTTAGTCCAAAGAGGAGCCCAAGGGGAAGGAGGACGTTGTGCTTGTCATCTTTGTTCTGCTCAGAAGTGATATAGGAGAAAGGCTGCAGCTATAGCATTTTGCATTGTTTAGTTATAAACACTTCAGCTATTCTTGAAATCATTGTAGGATGAGATCCAGGAAGAGCTTACATAAGGGCATCCTCACTTAATACCTTTTAACATTTCCTTGGTCATCTGCCTTGCCTTTGTCACCTGCCATCTTACCACCCCTTACCTCTGTCATCTGCCATAAATACTTCTCATGTCATGTTGCTAGATCAAACTTCTACCTCAATTTTATTTTTGGTATTTACATGATGAACTACAAAAGTAGTTGGGTCTGTACAAAGATCAATCATGTCCTGCTCTGCCATGCTGGAAGTAATGTGCAGGGGTCTCTTCTGCTATCACCTGCCTTAACCTCCTCTAGATCACATCTCTACTGTCCTTTTTGTCTGAAGGATGGTAACATGCTGAGGCACTGGTGGGGCCACCTGAGAGGAAAAGGTATGTGGTATTTTTTCAGTTACTTTCACAAGACCTTAGTGAATTTATCTAGATGACTTCAAAACTAGTAAAAAATTACTAGTTTTAATTTGTCAGAACACAGCACAGGCAGATTATTTTTGCAAGCACTAATAAATAATTACAATTTCTGCTCAGGCTGTTTAAAATTTGGGAAAATCCAATCTCCACATATAAGAATGGTGAAATATACCTAAATTACCATATAAAAAGGAACAGGTAAAGGAAAAATCCTGAGTAATGGTTGTTTCGAAACCTATGGAGATGTGAGACCTGCCCCATTTCAATGATTCAAGCTTCAGTGTCATTAGTGGTTGCCAACAGCTTACTTTTTTCAATATCTTTATGATTTTGTGAACTGAATCACAAAAATTCAATGTATAGTTTATTGGATAGGAGAGGTTTAATTTTTATTTTTTTTTAATAAAGAAAGTTTTTGACATAAACTGGGTATTTGCCTTTTATCCCTCTTCCCTCTGGAAGCTGAAAAATTCCAGTTAAATAGCTGAAATCAGGGCTATGGTGCAATGAATGGCTGTGCTTTTCCCAGAGTAGACCTAATGATATCTAGCAGGGAGAGGTCTGAGGAAAGCTGGTGCCAAAACTGTGTGTTTCACTGCACATCACATTTTAAGCCACATTGTTCATTATTATTGGTCCTTAAAATAATATTTGTGTCTTGCAAGGTGGGAAGTAAGATTTCTTCAATGTGTGTCCAAAATTGTTCATGTATTAGGAACTTTCCTGAGGACCCACTGTAAGACAGCTATGTCAAGGAAAGGAGCATCCTGCAGCTTTTAAAGTCTCCCTGTTGACTCCTGCCTGTCAGTACAGAACTAGTTTGGTTTCCCTTAATTACAATTAAATGTGTCCCTACGGAATCACATTCAGGAATGGTGCTGTCACACTGCTGCAATCACTATGGGCTGCTCCTCTTTGTGTGCCATCCCCGTGAGGTGGCACAGCTGCAGAAAGAGTAATTTTCTACCCCCAGCTCTGAATATATTATACCCCCATGTCTGTAAGGCCATGAGCATTCCAGCCAAAGCCCAGCCCTCCAAGGAAATCCTGAGGCTACTCAGTATGAAAACTCAGGCCAATCTCCCTCCTCTTTCCTTGGACCCTGAGCCTCTCTCCATGATGGAATACAATCATGGAATAGTTCTGGTTAGAAGGGACTGCTAAGGGTCAGCTTGTCCAGCCCTTCTGCCATGGTCAGGGACACCTTCTGCTGGATCAGGTTGCTCAGAGCCAGTGTGACCTTGAATGTTTCCAGGGCGTCAGACACTACCATTCTGGGCAACATCAACCAGCCCTCTCCAACACCTCTAACACACAAATCTCCTTGAGTGAAAGGGAGGAGGAGGAGGTAGCCACAGTTGGAGTTCGAGAGATACAGACAAGAGCATAATGAGAATGATTTGGGGTCAGCATGGGGGAAGAGAGGTGGAGGTTTTGTGCTTGGCCTTCACACAGAGTAAAGGGTTTATGGAGGTGACACGTGAGCGTCAGTATGAGCCGCAGTCTGACGCTTCTGTTGTTTTACAGTTGTTCTAACAGTATTTTGTACGTTCCTCATTTCTTCATTGAAATTCCTAACAGATTTTCCTGCTTTTTCACTCCAAGGGGAAATGCTGCTGATGTTTCAGACTGACAGTAAAAGCTTTTCTCTGAGTTGTAACAGCTCACTGAAAGCCTTTTAAAATGTGCACATAGAAATGTCTTTTTATATGTACACAGGGGAAAATAGAAACATAGGACTACACATATTATTTAGTGTTTGTTGGCATTAGATTTTGTATGGTATTTTAGCACCTTGTCACTGAGTAGTGGCTGCTCCTTGTGTTCTGCTGCCATACCTGAAGTTAACATGGTTGGAAGAAGTTTGCTGGTCTGTGAGCTACATTCGCTCCTGCATCAACTTCATGGCAAAGTAAGTAAAAATCTGGTTTTACCAAGATGACCCTAATGGTGGCCTTTGTTTGCCATTCATAGTCTTGCAGCTGATGGCAGAGGGTGTTTGGCAGTGTTTTCAGTCAGGGTTCGGTGTAAGTGCATCTGTTGGGGATGAGCACTGTAGGGGCCCGGGCTGGCTGAGGCTCAGAGGGCAGAGTTATGGAACAGGAGGAAGCAGAGCACTTGGCAGGGCACCACTGAGCTGTTTGCTGCAGCTGAGCAATGGCATGAATGAAGAGGGCTCTGGAAATAATTGAAGTAGCCTTGTTTCCAGTGCAAGTATGAAAAGCTTTCCTGAACAGCAATGGAAGCGTGGGCAGAAAATGCCACAGGTTTAGTCAGGCAAGCATGCCTTACTTTGCTGTTCAGTCAGGAAATATGTGTTTATATGTAACTGAGACACACAGAAGAATTACTGTGAACAGTAAGTTGGTACAGGAGAAGCTTCACTGCAAGCATTCTTATCAAGTCCTGAAATACTGTAAAAATGAGTAAGAAAAACTTGTTACAAAGGCATTCACATTCACTTCTTTACATTAAAATGCAAGATTAAATGTAATCTTCCTTGGCAAAGGAACTAGATTTTGTGTTTACAGAATAAATGTTCAGGAAAAATCCTTTTTGTGCACAGTGCATGCTTTATGATTGCTCAATGTTGATTTATGTGCTGTTCCTGTAAATCTATGGCAAATGTCCAGTAGTGTTAACCACAAGGGTCAGACCAATAGAAATATGGGAGACATTAATGAAGAAAAGACTCTGTTTTGTTTTTGAACATGCAGCTTCTACAGACGTGAAACAAAGGGCTGAGGCTGGCTCAGGAGCAGGATAAATGGACAGTACAAAGGTGGTCTGATAGCAAAATCCCTCAATATAACACACAATCAGAAAACCAGTTTGGTGCCCCAGATCAGAAACAGGACAAACTCAAGTTCAAATTTCAGAGTGAAAATAATTACGCATTCTTGAAAATATACATTCTGGGCTTTAGGCTGTAGTTTGTGAACATTGCCCTGGCAGAAGAAAAAGAATTTAAGATGACAGAGGCCCTGATTAAGGAACATGGGGCTCAGCCTCTGTTTGTCCAACAAGGAAAAACATCCCTGCAAAACAAACCCATTGCCAAAATTGCTACATTATAATGTACGTAACCACAAACTTGCAGGCAGCTGGAATTGTGCAATCTTTTCAGGCAGGCAGACTTAGAGAGCTCTCATCCTTCACAGATAAAACAACTTGAAAACTGTTTATTCAAAGAATTTGTCCTACACCTGCTTTGAATAGGGTTTTGGAGAAACACAGCCATTTCTGTGTAAACATTAACTGTATAGCTGTCTCAGTCTACCATAAAAAGCATGTTTATACAAGATGTTACTTTAAAATGAAGAAGCAGGAGGAGCGCTGGCTTTAAAAAGAAAGATTTGTATTGTGTTTATTATTCCTTTTGGTCACCATGGGTTACAGGATGGAATGTACAACAGGATTCTATGCTCCTGCTTGTTTTCTAGTTGGGCTGCTCAGGTGTGTTGGAGGAATATCTGTGCTTGGATTCAAATATTTTACTTTCCTGTGTGATTAGTGGTCCAGTCTGATGAAGTGCTGTTATCTGGTGCTTCAGCTCTAGTGACAAGACTCTTGACCTGCTGGATCAGCTCCTTCCAGATGCCCTTTGGCACGTGAGTACATCATTCTTCACGGAAAACAAAAATCCCGGTTAAATCTTGCATTTATTAACTTTTCACTCTGCCAAAAAAGCAGAGTTTTATTTTCTGGATATTTACTTGTATGCTGTATACCATACTGGCTTTGCTACAGGACATCACAGGACAACTTGTTACTTCAAAGACTAACTGAATACACTGGGTAAATAATTTCTTTCTTTCTTTGCTTATTCTTATCCTAGGGGGTTTTTTTAAAGCTTATTTAATTAAAGTAAGATCTTAATGCCAGATCAGCCTGTTTTGTGTCTCATGCATCATTTCAAAAATTACTATAAAAGACACAGATCTATAATTCTGAAAATAAGAAAAATAATCTAGTTGATTAATATCTAACAAAGCATAGATTAAACTTAAAAGAAAATTTGGGAAAAAAACCCCAGAAAAACATTTAGTAGTTTGAAATTGAATAATACCTATTAATTTCAGTTTACAACTCTTTGCTAGTCTATCCCTCTGAAAGACTTTCTGATTTAGCAAGTCATGCCACCAGAATAAACATCTTTGTGTAGTGTTAGTAAAAATTCCATTGAGGCTTTCTAAATCGGCAAGAAGGAATTAGTCTGCATTAGTTATTCATGGTTTCAGTGACATATGGATGAAGGATTTTTCCACCCCAACTTTCCTTTTTTTTTACTTCTATCACAACTTTCTTAGGAATAGAGAGCAGCAGTTGCCTGCTTCTGCCTGCTAATGACCTCAGCTGAGGGTGTTTGGGGAAACCACATTCCAGGAGAGTCTGAGATCTTTCTTGAAAGCTCTCATTGATTTTAATATTCATGCTACTGTAATAAAAATAGCAGGTAATGCAGTGAGTGAGAGAAGAGGCTATTCATATGGGTATTAACTTAGCTATCCTGGTTAAACAGAGGTGTTTATTTAGAGCAGCAGCCTTAGAGAGGCACTGTTCTATTCCAGCAGCCCTTCTGCTAAAGGAAGCAAGCATGTCACCTACCCTCTGGTAAGCTGCTAGCTTCTCTTTTTAATACTTTCCTTAGATTTGGGCTACAGTAGCTTTCCTCTCAAATCTCCTCTGTGATTTGTTTTGGGGTGGGAATGTAGTGCTGGGGGTGGAGCAAGTCTCTTCTGTGGGAAAGCAGTCTATGACCCTAGTAATGCATGTGAAGCAATAATTCATTAAATGTTTTTATAAACATAGAATTTGAAATCCAAAAAGAAATATGCTTGTTTCCTGTTGAGTGAGAAATGTTTGCTTCAGATGAGATCAAAGTGGATTTTTTGTTGCTGTTGTTTGAGTTTTTAGTATTATAATTTCTGAGAGTATTTTATTTTATGCTGTTTCCTCATACTGAATAATCTTGTTTTGTTTGCTTTTCTCCTTGGGAAATGTCCAACAGTACAAGCTGTTATGAATACTCCCTTTGAGACCTGTTGATGCTCATACTCAGTAGTAGTGTTTTGAAGTTTGAGCTACACATTTTTGGTCATGTTGAAAACTGCTTGCTCATCTGATTTCATGTTCC